GTCATGTATATATTCCTCGATTGCATAACTCTCTCTCTTTCTCTGCATATTTAGGAAAAGGATGAGAAACTCGATGGTGATGCAGCTTTGAACAAGTTCTTTAAAGACATATACGGTGATGCTGATGAGGACACAAAACGAGCCATGAGCAAGTCTTTCGTAAGAACCGTAAACTCTCTCCCTCTCTCTCTAACTCTCTCTAATTCTCTCTCTCTCTCTGACATTTATGTGGTGGTACAGATTGAATCAAACGGAACCGTACTATCGACAAACTGGAAAGAAGTTGGTGCAAAGAAGGTTGAAGGAAGCGCGCCAGACGGCATGGAGTTGAAGAAATGGGAGTACTGATAGGACGTCTCTTGTCTTTTGATCGATCTCAGTCATATATTTGCTTTTTTTTTTTTTTTAATTTTTTTTTTTTGGCACAAGTCATTTTTTGTGCTGAGGTATTTTGCCTTGGTTGTTTTTGAACTTGTTCATACTTTTCTCTTTAGATCAGAGCAAGTTGACTATCTTTTATCTGTTGACTTTTGATACTCAAAAATGTTTATTTCATTACAGCACTATGGTTGGAGTGTTTTATGTTTTTACTAAATCATAATTAAATATGTTTTATTATTCGAAAAGAATTCATAAAAAATAAGCAGCCAATATAACAAATTCAATCACGAAGGGAGAAATCTCTAGCACTTGTTCTTGATTATGATTGTCTTCAAACATATTATATTATTTTAGTATTACTTAATAATATATTACATTCCATGAAGGATAATTTAGTCACTTAGATAGAAGATTTTACTTGAAACACTTTCTTGAATGTAAGGGTTTTTAATTTGCGGCCATCCTCCTGAAGTAAGGTTTTTTCTGATAGAAAGAAAAAACCCTCATGTTTGAGTAATTACGACAATTATTTTTCTCAAGTATGAATCTTCTTACACGTCCATCTATGTGGTGTTAAATTCAATAAAATCTTTTAGATTCCGTGTAATGTTCTATAGTTTTGTATTTCAGTTTTGTGCAAAAATACAATTTTTGATGCACTACAACTTGATATGTTTAAAGCCAAGAGACATATATTATGATTATCTTGTTTCAAAATGTGGAGTTCAAATGGGGTAAAACGGTAAAAAACTAAAGAATATTCAACATAATCTAGAAAATTCTACTAAATTTGACACAACAATAATGAACGTGTAAAATATTCATAGTTGATGGTGGTTATAATTACCAAAACATGAGGGGTTTTTCGTAATTCGACCTTACCTCATCAGTTGGCCGTAAATTGGGGCATTTTTTTTTTTTTTTTTTTTTTCGAATTTGAATTGTTTTCGTAATTTTTCCCCGAAAATAAGAAAACAAATTTATTTTAAATCAAAATTATTTGTTTATTTATTGGCTTTATTGGGGTTAACAGTTCAAGATCACTCGCCGATCTTCAAATTTCTGCTCAAAACAAATCCGAAGTGATTACTAATCAGTGAATTTCGATCATACTCCAACAAGAACAATGCAATTCTTCGGTGGCACAGAAATCAGTCCATCGCCGCCGGCGCCGACCGCATCTGGGAACAATGCCCACATGCTATACATATTCAACAGAAACGGCGTCGCTTTGCTTTACAGAGAATGGAATCGACCCCTCAAAACCCTCAGTCCACAGCAAGATCACAAGCTAATGTTTGGTCTCCTCTTCTCTCTCAAATCCTTAACTGCTAAAATGGATCCCACCAGGTATTCGACGTTATGCCTCTTCGAAAAATATCAAAATCAGCTCTACCAAAAAAATAAATAAAAATTTGCTCTTTTGATTGGTTATTGATGCGGGTTCCCGTTATTAACTTTCACAAGCTAGTGATTCTTTTTTTTTTTTTCTTTTTTGGCAGTGCTGATAAAGGGAATCTTGGGGTGCCGCAGTTACCTGGGCAAGGATGTTCTTTTCACAGTTTCAGAACCAATACTTATAAATTGAGTTTCATGGAGAGTCCATCTGGGATTAAGGTTAGCTGTGATGATTGGTTTTAGTTTTTCTACGATGATTTTTCTGCGCGCGTGTAAGTGGCCTTTTTCTTGAATTATGAAATGCTTGATTCGGAAACTTGTTACGGCACGGGATGCATTAATGTGTAGATTTTCTCTTAACTTCTTCGGAATTTATGAATTTGAGTTTTCTGTGAAATCTCTTAGTTACATGTCAAAATGATTCTTACTGTGAGATTAGCTTTTCTCTAAAACATGATTCCCCCAGTGCAAATAGAAGTGTTATTGTTGTCGTAATCTTTTATTACAACAGAAGGAATCAGTGTTGCAGAATTTCGCCTTTGAAATGAAGTCATTACTTGTCAACTCATAGTTTAATGTACGGTGAAGCATTACAGTAGGGGTTGATTGGGAAATAAAACTAGGATAAATGATTCATGTGGAATCAAATTTTATACTGGAGTGGAGTCTGGTTCTAAAGTTAATAGATAATAGATTAACTTTATTAACTGAGTTAAAGAAACATGAAATACTACGGTTATAAGTTGATGATGGCGATGGACTATGTATCTTTTCATTGCAGAACTTGATGGTATTAGTTGTGTCCTTTTTCCATAATTTTAATGCACAATAGTATTTGTTATTGATGAATCCTTCGAAGAAACATGGGTTATTTTTCCATGATTAAAAAGCTCTCTTAGGGTGCTTGGGTTGAGGATAGTGTAGAAACAAGATTCCTAGTTTGAATAATAAACGTTCAAGAGTTCTTAATGAATTGTATTAGTATGAATTAAGGATAATCCAAAGTTAGTATAAGGAAGTCATAATATTATGTTTATCTGAGGGTGCTACTCTTTCTATTCAGTTCGGGTATCATGTAACCAACCAAATTTCATCGGTTAAAACACAGTCAGTTTTTACCTTTTCACATTCTCTCTTTTGAATTTTCTGAGTATCGGCAATAATAAGGCCATACAGGTTGGAAAATCCTCTAATATAATTCTGTTTTATGAACCCTTAATAACTAAATAAAGGTAAATGAATGTCAACGTCTACAATTCCTTATGATTCTTTCATCATTCATTAGTAACTTCTTTCGTTTACTCATGTCCACATCGTGTAATAAACGTATTATTTCGACTTTTTTAATAAACTTTTTATTTTATTTTTTATGCAGCTTATTCTCGTCACTCACCCAAAGACTGGTGATCTCAGAGACTCCCTCAAGTACATATATAACTTGTACGTTGAGTATGTTGTAAAAAATCCACTATATTCTCCTGGAACTCCCATCAGGTGAGTCTATTTTTTTGGTTTAGTATTTATCTGCAGTTCTCTATGCAGTTCTCTACAGTTACACACACCACTAAAAATTCTTTTATATTTTTGGGATTTTGTGGATTCTTGAGACAGGGATTGAAATTTGACTTTCCGAATTCCGTTTATATTTACTAAAAATCCGGTCTTTCGGGATCTACGAGAAACCCCGGATTTATGGGATACGGAACGGAAAATCCCGAAATATTATTTTTCCGGCAAAAAAAAAAAAAAGAAAAGAAAAGAAAACAGAGTAACAGACTAACATCATCAGTCCGGACCATAATATTAAATGGCTAATTTTCAATTTGATTAGCTTCGGATTCTCATTTCCCAAACAAATCCATTCTACTAATTTTCATCAGCATTCTCACTAAGATTTGTACTGAAGCCCTCTCGAATCTCGATACATGTTCAGCACTAAACTAATGTTTAGTGCATTAAACTATTGTTGTTATTAGCTTTCTTATTTAAAATATTATTAGCAATATAGAATCATTACCATTGTTGTTTTGTTAATCAAGATAATATTACACCTACAACTAACTTTGTCACTGTTATTAATAAAAAAATTATACATTTTCATTAAAAACTGAAATCAAGGGGAAAAAACACCGTGCAAGCTTTCTTATCTCGACTTCTAAAAAGGGTTACATTGTCTCGACTTCTGAGTATGTATATTTTTATAATGCTTCGGAACTACGTAATTAGTTGATGCTAATTCGGTTTTGTCTGATGTTGTTTGTGCAGTTGTGAGCTATTCAATAAAACTGTCGACCAGTATGTGAGAGGCCTCGGCTAATATGGTACGTCTATCGTCTCGATTCTTGATATTATACCTTACAATAGTTTCAACAACTGTTTCAATGTGAATTTGTTGATGTATGAATGACATGCATATGTTTCTACATTTTTTTCTTCAAAGTCTGTAATTTGTGGTGATTTTTATTTTATTTTATTTTATTTTTTTGTTTCCCTGAATTAGTTGGATGGGTATCGATTTGGACTTTTATTTTGATAATTTTGTGTGTAGTAGATTATCACATACTGAATGTGTATCATATATAATATAATTTTAAATAATTCGAGGGTTTTTTTTTTTTTTGGCTAGTAAAATAACATGAGGTTCTTTTCAACAATTAAAATAAATATAAAAGTGGCAAATATAATAAACCATGTTATATATTATTTCAAAATTTAACTTTAGAATAATTGAACCTAGACATGTAACAGAAGTTGCATGCATAAGAATACGAACAATGATTTATGTGGTATTAAAATTACGAATACGGTTCACAATATGTTTTTTCTTCTCTATCTAAACCTCCCAAAATCCCCAAAACCTCCAAAACTCTCAATAATCCTCTCCAATTCTAAAATCTCACCAAATTTGAAGGTAAGTTTTACTCTAAATCACTTAATATGTTAATTATAATTAGTTTATTTCGTTAATTGCATGTTAAAATCCCCTAGAAATTGAATTATTCATTAAATACTTATAAATTATAAATTATTCATTAATCAATAATTATAATTTGTTTATTTTATTGTTATTATTATTCATTAATTACTTCAAAATTATTAATTAATTATTAGCTAATTACAAAATAACTATTAATCAATAATTAGTAATTATTTATCTATTGATTATCATTCATTAATAATCAAGTAATCACTAATTAACTTAAAAAAAATAAAAATACAAAGCATTCACGCCCACGTGAAAGAGTGGTTCTCACGTCCAATATGACGTGCACTCCTAATTTAAGCGTGAAATAGTAGTTCTCACGTCCAATATCACGTGGGTAGTGTTTTTCAGCTCCTGATTTGCGTGTGAAACATGGTATTTCGCTCTCGTTTTAGGCGTGGATAAGTAAAAATAAGGAATTTTAAAACCCTAGAGAAAGAAAACTTTTGATAAATTAAAACTGTATTCATAAAAATGGTACCGCATTTATCAATAATTATAATGACCTAATTAGAAAAAGTGATTTTGTAATTTGACCTTGCTTCATGGTTTTGCTGCAATTTGCCAATCATAAATATTGTAGTATATCAATATTATATATTAGTAATTAGAGCATCTCCCACCCATCACCAAATCCCATATTTATCATCTAATTTAGGTGTTTTTAGTCTCCCAACCTAAATTTCTAAATCACCATTTACACCTAAAATTATAGTGATTTAGTTTAGTCTCCCACCATGGTCAAACTCTATATCACTATATCCCTAAATCCTATATTTTCACCAAAATTTTTGATGAAGAAATTTTCATCTCCCACCCATCCACCATTTTACCATTTTTTCCACCAAATCCTATTTTTTCTTTCAAATATAGAAGTGAAAATAGGATTTGGTGTAACATCCACCATTTTACCATTTTTTCCACCAAATCCTATTTTTTCTTTCAAATATAGAAGTGAAAATAGGATTTGGTGTAATTAACACTATATTAGAATTAGCATATAAAATTATTATATTAACTAAATTCATGTGATTATCAACTTATAAATACACTTATAGTAAATATATTAGTGTTAATTAGTGAATTATTTTTCAAACAAGGCTTTAACGAGGCCCTTGTTATCAGTGAAAATTTTTTTTTTGGCCAAAAAAATGTAGTAATGTTTTTATTATTAATTTATGTTGTAATGTTTTTATGATTAATTTATCTTGTATGGTTTTTAGGCAATAATTAATGAAATTATTGTTTATTTGTGGTTTTATTATATGTATAATAATCTAAATCGATTTTTATTCATGTTTCAATAATTTTTTTTATATTTATCATAATATTTAAATTATATACTTAATAATATTATTATTTAAGATCAAATTCATAATCAATGTTTTCGTGATAAAATAGACTAGATTTACAATTAACATTAAACTTATAATTTTGTAATATATTTGGTGAAATGCCATGGGAGATCAAACCAAATCCTATTATCTATAAATGGTAAAATTGTGAAATATTAATATTTAATTATTTGGTGTAAAATTTGATGGAATTGGTGGGAGACTAAATACACTATTTTGTCATTAAAAATAGAGAAATTATAGAATTGTGTGCTATGGGTGGGAGATGACACCATTTTTTCATCACCAAAAATAGGATTTCGTGGAAAAATGGTGTTAAGGGTGGGAGATGCTTTTAGTAAACATATAAACACATAAGTATGAAGTCTATGGAGAGAGAGATTGAGAAAGTTCCGTGGTAGGTGTAGGGGAGAAATAGTGGAGTTATTTTAATTTATTTTGTACTGTTTATTTTAGGTGGGACCCTCAATATTTTTATGCCACCACATAGCACTAGTTCTTAAAAAAATAAAAAAAAAGTATTTAGTTCCTCATTATATTTTTAATTAGTGCATCGATAAATTCCCACGATTACTCATAAATTAAAGGAAATATATAATCACACTAGATTAATCATAGATTAATCATGTATGACAAGTTTGACCTGGAATTTGGATGCGGTGATATATCATGTTTCTTGTTTAGTTTTGTGGTTTTTTCAATACCGCATTCGATAAACTTTATCAGTTTATCGAGTAAAATATGACAATAAACACATGTTCAATTAACCTAATTTGAATTCTCTTGAGCGAGTTGTGATCGCGTATAATTTTACAAGTTACTGATGAGAGTGAAAGTACATCAACTGTACTTATATTAGATATGACCACGGTTTGGTTCCGGTTCCAGTTCCGATTTTGGAGGAACCGGAACCGAACCGAATTTTTCCGGTTCTTTGTCGTTCGGTTTTTTACGGTTCCCGATGCGGTGTTGAGGGTTGGAACGAACGTATAACAAGAATTCTTGGAATGCCGTGGGCATTCTTGATTGGTGCGGAGCTAACTATAGTGCAAAGCCGCACCTCTTTGGTTAATAAGATCCAAAAGGTTTATCGATCCCGGGATGTGGAGATTCATAATAGGCATATAGAAATTATTGTACGTCAAATAACATCAAAGGTGTTGGTTTTAGAAGATGGAATGTCTAATGTTTTTTCACCTGGAGAACTAATTGGATTGTTGCGAGCGGAACGGATGGGGCGCGCGTTGGAAGAAGCGGTTTGTTACCAAGCCCTCTTAATGGGAATAACAAGAGCACCGGTTAGAACCGGTAGATCTAGGGGTGAGTTCGGGACGGGATTTCGGGAATTCGGGATTTTCGGGATCGGGATTTCGGGATTCGGGATAGAAATTTTAAATCCCAATCCCGTCCCAAACTATAATCCCGGTTATATCGGTAT